ACTCATCTATACTTATCTTCTTACAATTTCTCTATTTTTATTTATATTTTATTTTGTTAAAAATTTAAAATTTAATTAATTGTGGGTTGACATAATTGATACTAAAGTACTTTAATTAAAAACTAATGATGAACTAACGTTAACTCAATTAACTCTACGTAGAGTCAATCTTAAAAGCGAGTCGACTTTACATAAAGTTAGTTTTAAAAAAATCCACACTAATACATTAACATATATAGTTATATATAGTTATATAGTTACACATATACATAAATCTCATACTATTAATTAATATTAATTTTTTACTCATTACCATTGACTTTTATTAATTTTTTTAGTGTTAAATATAATTTACCTGCGAGGTGGCACGAGATGAACACCATTCTAATGCCTTTGTAGTTTATGCGAATTGCTACAGCCCCTTTCTTTCTTCCAATTATTCCTCCACAGCCTCCAAAAGATTGTTTGTCTACCTTCAATTCTGATGTAAAATTCAAATGAAATTATCACATTTAATTAGTGGGGGTTTCAACTAAGTTATACCATTAACCCTAAGAAACTTTTTTGCATAAAATCTCACCATTGATGAATGATCTTGCATCCTTTGGCCCAAACAGATACAACTGCAAAGATTGCATGATAACTTTACCTATCAGGCTTCATTTCAGAAAGAATGAAGGCAAAAGGTAAACAGTTTCAATAAGTTCACACACAAATATATGAATATATGCTTGGCAAATTATTTAAAAACATTTTAAAATTTTAATTTTCTACTAAATCTATTACTTCAAAGTGTGACATTTTTTTTATATAATCTAAATTTGTTTGTCCACACAAACCCTTAAAGGCTGTTCAAAATATACAATATACACAAGCCATGACCTAATTAATTTTGCTCACATAATCAATAATTTATACAATGGGTTTTTGAAATAGTATAAAAGAAGGGCTAGCTTTTGTTGTAATCACAAGAGATTATTGGGTTGATATAGTTCATAAGGGTACATTCGTGTTTTAAAAAGTATATACACGAGTTGGATCAGTTCCAATGTTTCATTTATATATTTATATATATTTATTGATAAAAAAATCAATAATTTATTTGTTATAGTTTTCATAAACTATATTTTAAAGTTCCAATGACTTTAAGGTTAGCGATGAATTAGAATAGTGCTTTTACCATTATTCCCGAAACATAAATATGAATGGATGTAGTTACACTACGGTTCGTGACAACATATTTTAAGTACCAAGATTTGATAAACATTGAATTGTATTTTCAATCTTAGGATTAGAACAAAACAAGCAAAACATAAATTCAAAAAGTTTGGTAAATTTAGTATATTTTCTTACGTATGACTTTCATGCAGAGCTGCTGAAAGCATAGGTTCAACTTTGTTTCGCGGACATGGAGGAGCCTCTTGCAACCCAACGGCCAGAAGATCAAACTCACGATTGCTACCAACCATTTCTGCTAAATCTTCAAACGTAACCTATTCACAGAAAATGAAAACAGTTACATGAACACGACACAGAATAAAGTCATGAAAAGTTTCTACCAAAGAAGAAATCACTATTAAGTGAAAAACTTTTCTCTTGACAGATTGGGATGAGTGAACTTCTGAGATATTCTGAAAAGATTTTCCATAAAGCTTACAAATTACCATGAACATTGATATTTGGTATGTGGACATTTCATGTACAAATACTATGAATTTATAAGGTTGTACCTGGCCATTCATGTTCCAAGTGGCTATGGAGATGCAGAGATCAGAATCAGTGGAAAAGTTACAAACTTTCTCAACACCCACAGTTCTAATTCCTGTGTGAGAGGGTGAAGCTTGGTTATGGATGAAACCCATTGGCCTTTTCTTGGTTCTTGATTTTCTTCTGCAAATTGTACCCAAAAAAACAACAAAATTGGTGAGAATTGAACAAAGAAAGTGAAAAAGGAAACAAGAATCTAGCTGAGTTCATCCATAAACATGATCGATCATATATATATATATATATATATATATATATATATATATATATATAGAGAGAGAGAGAGAGAGAGAGAGAGAGAGAGAGAGAGAGAGAGATACCCTTTGCAAAGTTGGTTCCCCATGGTTACGTGATTGGCAAAAATCAAACACTGGAATTAATTTCTATACACGAAAATGATTTTAAGTAGAAGAACACACTTCGAAGAAGGAGACGGAGGGATTCATGAATTATTGACTTGCTATTATTGTTTGGACCATTTATATATAAGAGCAAAAAAGCACAAGTTCTGAAGTATTCTAGAAATTGTCAACCATTTGAAAATTTCGAAAATGTGTGTGGTCTTGTTTTTCTCACGAGTTAGGTCAGGGATAGTTGGGAAATTACAGAGAGGATTGAGGGAAAAAAACAAAGATGAAAAGGACCATTTGATAGACACTATCCATGCAAATTACGTCAAGTAACTTTGCCTAACTAATACGTGTTGGAATGTCATAAAAGGGAGCACCCAAAATTGTTTCCACTCTTTTTCAATATATATCTCCTACCTCTTTGATTCTTTGGTTTTGCTCTTTAGATAATCATACACTAATAATCCTCAAAAAGTCAATAAAAAATTGTAGGCATGTGTTTACCAACTACATGTTACAACGTAAGTCTTACAATGCTGGTTTTCTTTTCATACCATTCCACCAAGTTTATATATATAAAGAGTTTTGGTACATTTTTATCTCTATTGTTGAAATTTTTCTACTTTGTTTTATATCTGTTGGGAGAAAAACAGGTTCTCTTTAAAAGGCCTTCAACCTTTTATTTTTATCAGAAAGTGTTTTCTTCTCTATTTTATGAATATGTGATTTTTTTAAAGTAAGCAAAGCACATATTACCTAAATAGATAAATTTTAAATTTTTTACAGAAATAGGCTATAAGAGATAAATGATTTCAGTTGGGTCAAATGGTCAAATAAAAAATGGGTGAGGGTCTAAACAACTTTTATGTTGAAGTCTTGAAGGATGTTGATGATTTTCAATTTTAATTGAAAGTGGTATAGGAGTAAAACGATTTCCAATTTTAATTGAAAGTGGTATAGGAGTAAAACGATTTCCAATTTTCATCATTCTTATTGTAATTGATATTATAATATGAATGTAATCCATTACTAGAATCATTTTATTTTCTAAATGAGTAAGTATAATTGATTCCAATGTTAATATAATCGATTATCATGTAATCAATTACCAAAGAGTTTTGGTCTCTATCATAGTGGAACACATTTTGTAATTGACAAAAATCGTAATTGATTTAATGATTATGTTATTAATGATAACATTTTAATAAAAGAAGTAAAAGAGTAAATTAATAATAGAAAACAATGAAGACTACAAAGAAGTAAAAGTTATTGACGAAATAAATATGTTTCCTTATGATGACCTTGACAGTAAGGACATTTTTTTGGTTTATTCGAAATAGGTTGATCATTTTGTTATAGATTTGAGTAATAGTTAGTCTTTCTGATGACTTACACTACATTTGAGGATCTGGTATGAAATTTGGACTAGTATTGGTAGACCAATAATCTTCATTTATTAACGGATGGAATTGGACTTAATAAGTCTTATTTATGGTATCGAGACTGTAAACAAGATCTATAAATTCAGTTGGCGATATATAAGAATATGCACAAACAACTAAGACATGATGACAAAGGAGACAATTTACTTAAAAGTGACCACAATCACACCACCATTCTTTTAATCTAACATTATATGAAGTTGGTTGAGGGCGATATTGGTGGAGGGTTGATATCTCTTGCACATCAAGTTCTGAATTTCTCGATTATAGCGATGAAAATGACAAAATGTCGATTGATGTTGATTTTTTCGAAGAACGACAACAATGTCTTCTAAATACTAATGCTCTTAACATAGACTCGATTTTCAAACCTCATTCAACAAAATCATGTTTGTGTTCTTTCAAATGTTGTTTTGATTAAAACACAAATGGGTAACGAACATGCTCTCTTTAACACTAAGTTCATGCATTCAACAAGATTTATCGTTATGTGGTCGTATTTTCTGCCTCTATCAAAAGCCTTAGTTTGCTTTTGTAATGGAATTTTATCAATCCATGATAATGTTTGGGGAATTGGTGTTTTAGTGCAAAGTTTTCCATTCAAAATGGGTTGCTTGACCTTTACCACAACTGACTCCTCCAGTACAAGTTTCTGTACAAATCCTGGATTTTGTTCGCGTAATCGTTTACCAAGCATCTGTAAACGATTACAAGTGTATTTTTTGGTGCAGAAGTTTCAAGACTTCATCTAAGTTGTTCATCTCATAAACATTGTTCCTTTCCTCAATCATGGGGTGCCCAAACATGACTTTCCAGACTCTCTACTCACACTTAAACACTAAAATCAAGTGAAAACCAGTGGATTTATGACAAAAAATTAAAAATTTTGACTATGGTCACCTAGGTTACCACAACTAACTCCTCCAGTACAAGTTTCTGTACAAATCTTGGATTTTGTTCGTGTAATCGTTTACCAAGCATTTGTAAGCGATTACAAGTGTATTTTTTGGTGCAGAAGTTTCAAGACTTCATCTAAGTTGTTCATCTCATAAACATTGTTCCTTTCCTCAATCATGGGGTGCCCAAACATGACTTTC